GTTGCCCTACAGTCCATTGCTTCCGCAGACATGGACTTGAATCAGCTGGAGGCTTTTCTCACCGCCCAAACCAAAAAACAAGGTGGCATCACATCTGATCAAGCTGCAGTCATCGCAAAATTTTGGAAGAATCACAGAGTAAAGATCCATGAGAGCCTGATCAATCAAAGCCGCTGGGATAATGTCTTGAAAAATGTGAGCTGGCGAGTGGATCTGAAGTCACAGTCAAGACACATCAATCAGATAAACACTCCTGTTGCAATAGTTGAAATGGAATTGGGAAAAAATGGGCAGGTAAGCTTTCTTTTTCAAAATACATAAACCTGATTTAGCTGTATATGTGCTGAGACATTTTACTTGTTGTTGAATTCACTGCATTCAAATCAAGTCAGTCCATGTATTTTTCACCACCAGGCCTTTGATGTTCTTGAACTTGTGGTCCATCTTGGGATATAAAGATACATTCTGGGTGGTGAATGCAATTTTTGCTTATTTTATATCTTCATATCATCCTAGTTTGAGCCAGAAAGCCAATTTTCCTCTGTACTGGCAAGTATTTTAAAACTGTATTTGTATTCCATGCACTGTGAAGTTGATTAGGTTTCTTGGTGATTTTTTTCTAATCAACTATGAAAATAAGGTAACATCAGCAGAGTAGAAAAGTTCAGAAATTATGATGATCAAGCATTCCTTGTATTTTGGGACGAATGGGGGGAAAGACTCCCCTTTAGTTTACATAACAGCTGTTTCATGTTGCAAGTACATCTTTATTAGTAGTCACATCATGTAATCTGGTCATGTCTGCCTGAAAGAGATATATAGCTCTGTCAGTGCTGAACACTGTATTTCTTTTTGATCTTTATAATTCACATGAACATACAACCAGAGGCTTGGCTTCCTATCTTCAATCTTCTGTCTTTTTGACAGGAAATATGCTTCAATTTGGTATCTTTTTCTTCTGCCATGTGTTAGCGAATCTTAAAACATAATTTCTTAGCAGTAGCTACTGCAAATCATACCGTGAGCTAATCTGGGGATTTTGATGTCAATAGTTAATGTTTAGCAACTTTCCTTTTATTTCACAGTATTTCAGTAGCTTATAGCAAAAGATTACCTGGATTAGGTATACCTAAATTGCAGACACATATGCACACACACACCTGGAGTATACCTATGCACACTGAATTATTTCATTGACACTGTGTGGCTATACCAACAGCAGAATAAAAGTACAAGAAAACTGGGAACCTACTGAGACAGTTTATAATGTTGAAGTTATTCTGTAAGTCCACTTTTCCTTTGAAAGCTTACCCTTCCTAAGTGCTGACCCTCTGCCTTCCACTCATGTTTCTTTGCAGTGACCATTACAATAATGCTGTGTGGTTTTAGGTTTTTTCCTAGCCTAAAACATGGTGTTTTCTGCTCAGGATCTTGAGATTGGAAGTAATTATATTCCATTAGTAGCAAATGGAAAAAGCTGAAAAAAAATATGACAGCGAGTACATAAAAAATATTACAGCAAGTACATTAGAAAGAGTACATTAGTGAGCAAATGGGAAAAATAGTCATGTTCATGAAAAAAAAATAATCTGCAACTCAGAGCCACTGTTTCACAAGGAAATTATGTAGTTAGTGCCTCCTGCTTTGAAATTGTTTTTTCCCCAGTAATGGATTATTATGGTAACATCAATCAGCAAGTACATTCATATTTCTTCCACACCGTGCAGCAAGAGAGAGCTAATGTGAAAATGAAGGAAGAATACACATTTCTAAGAAACTGTAATTTCTCTTACTGAAGAGCCCCACAACAGAACCAGAATTAGTTATTTTAGCAATGCAGCTTTGTGTTTCAAATGTAACAAGGGAAGGTGTTCTGTGGGTGTATTTTTTGAACTGCTACTAGGCAGAACTTTTCTCTCCTTTGCTGAGGACAGGGCAGTAGTGAGCTATTGGCAAATCAGAGCAACTAAGAGTATTAGACTGCTACTTACAGAAATAATCATGGAGAAATTAGGATTGTCACCACTTGAGTCAAAATTGGTGTTTATTTTAAGGAGCTGTGGTTTTGTATGGTCTCTAGGAAAAGGTGACGGCAGTCCACTGCGTGCTCCTGTGATGGGCTGAGGCAAGGGTAGAGGGGGGAACCTCTCAGGACTGGAACAGCAGCAAGTGAGTTGTTGCCAGAAGAGTTCATGTTGCCAGAAGAGTTCATTTAGCCATCAGCCTTTTCGTGCCTGTGTTTGGGGACCTTCTGGAAAGATGGTCACAGAGGCTTTACTGTTGAAGGTTCTTGCACACTGGCTCCAGCCCACAAACTTAGAAGCATCATCATATTTTGGAGCCTTTATAGGTATTTCTGCTTTATTGTTAGCACATTTATATCTGTTCTAAATACCAAGCGTTGGTATTTGGTACATGCTGGTACCTTTCTGACAGAGCAAATATGTTTTCTAAAACATTGTCAGTCATAGATGTGATTTGGTGAATACTGAATATCTCCTGGATTTGTAGAAGAAAGCTGGCTGATGATTCAGGAGTAAATTATTCAGAACAGACTGTTTTCATTTGGACACTTGATAACAGGGGACTATACAAATGCATTGATGTCTAATCAATTGACATTAATATTTCATATGTTTCAACAGAAGCAAAGAAATACCCTGTAGAGAATGTACCTTTCCAGAATTTAAAGTTGCATTGATTCTTCTCAGTGTGTCTGGACTGGATTTAGATCTCAGCCAAAGGCCAGGCAGTTTAGTGAAGTGTCTGCTGCTTTTACTTCAATAAGTAACCTTGCTTTCTGCTTGTCATCTGAATTTTAATCAGTCAGTTCTTTCATGACAGAAAGAATATCTGTGTAAGAGCCAATATGGCTAGAAATTGATGTGACTAGTTCATAAATGTCAGTAGGCTGAGTTTAGATGAATTATGTCAGATTTCATGGATGTTTTCTAAGGGAAGGAAGATGTTTCTGTGTTTGAGAATCCATTATAAACTTGCATGAATTACTTACTATCCTTGGCAATACTGATAATAGAAAAAAATTAACCCTTTCCTCTAAGTGCTCTTAAAAACACTGATAAACATTCAGAAATACTGCTTCTCCAGATGCTCTGGTTCAGCATCTGTAACTTGCAGTTTGAACTCTTCTTCAGTAAATATTTTACAGCAACATTTAAAGTTTCCTTTATGCTGGTGATGTAGTCTTTATACATGCTGGTTAAAGGCAGATGAAGATGCTAGCCATTAAGTACTCTGGTTTCAAAGCCCTTTTTCTTTAACAATATGACTAAAAATAAAATCCTGAAGCTGTTGCACATTAGCCTGCGTTTGCTTTCCTCTGCTTGTGATACTCAGCACTCATCACTGCCAGTCCATTCTTTCCTTTCAACAGCCCATCTTTTCTTTAGCACAATGGTTTTATCTTCCTGTATCTCTGCACCTTGCTGGCTTTCTCTTAAAATATCTATAGCTCCCTGCACCCTTCTTTATGTCCTTTTTAATCTTATTCTCCCTCTCTGAGCATGGCTGTGAAGCTCTTTTGGCATGAAATTTCAACCGGATGCAAATCTGCCAGCAGGGACAGCGGGGTGAGCTGGAGAGTCGCCCTTCTTGTGCCCTTCCTGCCCTGCTGCATCAACGCTGCTCCAGATGGCCAGCAGTCACTGCCACACAATGTCAGGTTACCTGCAGATTTTAGTCACAGATTTATATCTGACCTTGTCATTAAACAGAATGCAAATGCATTGGTTTTTCACTCTGGCTTGGCATTAAGAGATATTTAAATCTGTTTTTTTGACGTTGCCGTGTTTTTTTGCTTATGAGATGTGCCTCTCCCTTAGGGCTGTGTTCTTCCCACTACTGTTCTGGGTTGGTTTGCCAAGAAGTTTTATTTTCTTGCAGCATTATATATTTAGGAGTTTAATATCTGAGACTGGTCAAATATTATAGATTAGCCTGAGTATTTGCTTTTTGCTTTTATGCTTGAACTTATTTATTGTGAGTATTTTCATAAGCATTTCAGTGTTTAGAATAATCCATATAATGACACTTTCATTGGAGTTTTGTGGCATGCTAAGCATGTTTTATGAGCGAAGAATATTTAACATGAAGTCTGGGATTCCACTGCAGGATTCTTCCTGGAAAGACCTTAGGAAATCACATCAGGATTATGGATTAGAGTTTTTTTTTCCCCAAAGCATGGTGTATCTCTCTTTTTAAAAGCATCTGCCTGACAGAGGTGTCCTAAAACTTAGCTAATGGTATATGGTAGGTAAATACTACTATACAGCAAATACTAAAAACAATGCAGGTTATGAAATTAGGATAATTACAAATTTAAGGCCAAAGAGCAGCCTCTCATTCCATGTAATTTTTCTGCAGTCTGAAATCACCAGAGATGTATCTTTTCACATGAAATAAGCATCTTCCTTTAAAAAACAGGCAAGTATTGGTAACAGTATTTTGACAAACTGAAAAGTCTACTATTTCCTAGTTGTGACTACATTTGGATAGCAGTTTTAAATTCTCACCAGTGAGATAAATACTTTATGATGAAAGGAGTTAGTAGATTAAGTGATCATTTGCCAGTGCAAGAATTTACCCGTTACTGAAAAAGTAAGAACTGTCAGCTCAGGATTTGCCTTAGGTATATCACACATGCTGTCTGCTAATGACTGGGTCCAGACCATGATAATTCAGAGAAAATAGTAATAATTCAGAGAAAATAGTTATAATTCAGATGTGGAAAGAATTAATAATGAACAAAGACAACTGTCATGTGCTCTATGTGGGAGGTAAAATGCTACTAGCATTTTGAAGGTCTGTTCTAAAATTTAATCAACTTCATCATAATAAAAATTATTTTGATGTTCTGGG